TGGGGAGGTGAGCACTGGAGGAGATGAGCATCTGGGGAGGTGAGCACCTGGGGAGGTGAGCACTGAAGGAGATGAGCACCTGGGGAGGTGAGCACTGGAGGAGATGAGCATCTGGGGAGGTGAGCACCTGGGGAGGTGAGCACTGAAGGAGATGAGCACCTGGGGAGGTGAGCACTGGAGGAGATGAGCACCTGGGGAGGTGAGCACCTGGGGAGGTAAGCACTGAAGGAGATGAGCACCTGGGGAGGTGAGCACTGGAGGAGATGAGCATCTGGGGAGGTGAGCACCTGGGGAGGTGAGCACCTGGGGAGGTAAGCACTGGAGGAGATGAGCATCTGGGGAGGTGAGCGCTTGGGGAGATAAGCACCTGGAGAGGTAAGCACTGAAGGAGATGAGCATCTGGGGAAGTGAGCACCTGGGGGAGGTGAGCACTTGGGGAGGTGAGCATTTGAGGAAATGAGTACCTGGGGATATGAGCACCTGGGGAGGTGAGCATGGAGATGAGCACCTGGGGAGGTGAGCAGCTGAGAGATGCCTTTTGTCGGCCCACTGTCTCCCCAGGGTTCCCTGTGGGATGAGGTCCATACTGCAGGACTGGAAGGTGCCCTGGGTGGGGCCTGAGCAGTCCCCTGTGCCCGCTGAGAAGGCGGCCCGGGAGCCACCATCACACCTGGCACCTCTGACCTGAAGACCCCTGGTCAGCCACACTTTACCCAAGTCCTCGCCTGGTCTGGCAACATTCTCAGGTGGGATGCGTTAAAACCTGGCCCCATTTACAAGGAAGCCACCAGGGCCCAGAGCTTCCGTGGCTGGCCAGTGGGAAGGTCTTGCCTCTGAGGGTGAGGGACTTGCCTTTTCAGGCCCACATGGGGGAGGGTCTGAGGGGCGGGGATCTAGGAGGCTGGAGAGGCAGAGGTGGGCAGGGACTCTGCATGCAGGCCCTCCTGTGGTTGTGGAGCCTGTGGGTGGATGGGGTGGCCTGGCTGCAGGGAGGGAGCCAAGGGTCTCTGGGTCCCTCTGGGCCGCCTGATGGGGCAGGCTCAGGCCTCCCTGGGCTTAGCCCAAATCCCTGGTCAGCAGAGGGGAGTCTAGGAGGCCAGAGCCAAGAGCTGGGCCCAGGGGAGTGCTCCAGGCCCCACTGTGGGCAGCCCAGGTGAGGCTGGTCCTTGCCCACACGATGTCCACAGGCCCGTCTCCGCCCTCAGCGTCCGGCACAAGCAGAGCCGGCCGGGCTCTGGCCCAGTGTGCCGCCCACACGCACCTGAGATGGCCTGGACGGCCACGCGGAGGAAGCCCTTCACCTCGCCCTTCTCGCTCACGATGGCCACGCGGTGCACCAGAGGCACGGGGTACAGGAGGTTGCTCAGGTAGACGAAGGCCCTGGGGAGCAGAGGCCGCGATCAGGGGCCACCCCCCACGCTCTGAGTGGCAGCAGTGACAGCACGGCCGAGGACAACATGACAAGAAGCTGCGAAGCAGAGCCAAGCCGCGGGGCAGCCAGGGTGTGGGAGCGAGGCGCTGGGCAGGGGTCGTGGGGTGTGCAGTGCTGATGAGACAGGAGAGGCACGAGGGGGCCAGGGAGTGGACCTCGGTGAGCAGAGGGCACAGCCCAGCAGAGCCCAGGTGTGGCCGTCCGAGAAGAGAACAGGTAGGGGGGGTGTTTCAGCCTGCTTCAAGGACCGGAGGACCTGGTGGGTCAGGTGCAGCGCAGCTGCTGTGACGTCCCTTCCCTGGCCAGCCCTGCTGCTCACGGGCCTCAGCCTGCTGGCTCCATCCTCCCGAGCCCCTCCCACAATGCAGCCTGTGGTGGGTGAGAGCTACTCAGAGTCAGCCAGTGCCCAGGGTGGCTGGCCAGTGCCCTGAGGACACCCCAGACCCCGCACAACCCCACCTGACCCGTTAGTGACCCAGAGCTCCAAGAGCCTGTTTCCAGCCAGCAGTTAGCTGCCCCAGCTGGTGCCAGGACTGACCTGGGCAGAGGACATGGTCACTGGGGTGGCTTCTGCATGCCCTGAACTAGCCAACATGTAGGGTCACAAAGGCAGCCAGGATGGAGAAGACCCTGGAGGACCCTGTGCCACCCAGCCAGGTGGGCAGGCTGCTGTGGAGAACGCCCCCACTGTTCAGGGGCCCCTCCTGGATGGAGCACCCTTCTAGGAATGGGGTCATCCTCCTGGGAACAGGAGCACCTCCTGGGTGGAGCACCCTCCCGGGAACAGGAG